TGGTATCGACTTGTTGGGCGGTCGGTATGAAGCTTTTTGGGATGTTCAAGTGTAAGGTTAGCATGTTTTTGTAACGTAACCCTAGACCCTAGACCCTAAACCCTAAACCCTAAACCCTAAACCCTAAACCGTCGTCGCTTTTGAAGTGCTATGGGGTTCTAGTTTTGCTCCGGAATCTCGGCTGCGCGGGTTTTTGGGATGCAGGGCTGGCGGTGATCCTTTCGCTTTTTTATACACCCTAAACCCTAAACCCTNNTCGAAGCGCAAGTGACGAAAAAGGCCCTTTAAAAACAAAAAACCTAAACCCTAAACCCTAAACCCTAAACCCTAAACCTTCATCTTCTTCCACTGTTGTTGGGGGGCTCGGTTCGGGGCTCACTGCAGCAGCACTTTGCAGAAGAACTCAGAACCTGGAGGATGCCAACCATAAGCCCAAAGGGTTTAGGGTTTAGGGTTTAGGGTTTAGGATTAGGGTTTAGGGTTTAGGGTTTAGGGTTTAGGGTTTAGGGTTTAGGGTTTAGGGGTTTAGGGTTTAGGGTTTAAGTCCTAGGTGCTGTTATGAAGGATACTTTCCCGAATCATAATATAGTGAACCCCCAAAAGTTGGAAACCGGATTAAGGAATTAAGGACAAATAGTGCTGGGATTCCCTATACAGTACTCTAAAGGATCGAGGCTATTGGGTATGCCCAATATAGAGAAACCCTACATTCTACCATATAGGTACTTTGGCCCCTTCGGGAAGGTTTAGTGGTTTACCAGAACGCAGTCTATGGTTTCGGGTTTAGGCTTGGGGGTTCCTTACAGGGATCTTTAAGGGTTTCTATAGGTTTTTAAGGGGGGGGGGTATGGTGTATACTAATTGCCTGTAGTCTCCATTGTAGTTCATTTTTTTGGGTTAACCAAATTTACCTTAAACCCGAAATCCTAAACCAAACGTATACCCCGAAAGGGACTACAATGATAGGTAGGTGACACTCTGACGTGTCGATGTTAAACTGTGAAACCGCCACAGACCAAGCAAGCGCCCTCAGCGCCAAGAGCCCGTTGTCTGAAACCCCACGCCCTCAAGTCAATCCTTGGGCAGATGGCCCTTCCCCTAGACCCACCATCTTTTGCAGTACCTCTCTAGTCTTAGTCCCAAAGGCTTTGGACTTGATGTCGGAGACTAACCCGAATGCCCGGAATTACAAGCTGAATCCATATGTGCACACAACCAATCCCTCAAGCCTAGGCGGTCGAGATGACTAAATCATAATACACATGAGTATAGTGTAGTACACGATAGCATACTGCATCCTACTACAGTATTCGATAATATACCCATATTCCACAAAAGAAAAACTATAATCGAGCATGGGAGCCAGACCTCCGAGCCAGAACCCATAGGCCCGAGTTATAGCTCTGTCAGGCCAGCGAACTGGGCGTGGAGCAACCTTGAGCGAATGCTATACTATAGGGGTCTTCATGAACAGTATACCCGAAAACATATACCGTAAACCCTAAGCCCTGAACCACGAACAACATGTAACAAAGAAGAGGCCCTGCCGTTCTGCGCAAGTATAGAATCACATAACAGTATCCCCCCTCTGACATCCCCCGCCACGATTGATATTCTTCAGGCGCCCAGTGGGACAGGGAGCTCATCCCTTTAGCTTTAGGGTTCAAAGGGGTCTATGAATTCCTAAAAGGGTACTATAAGGGTGCTATATGGTCAGTTCTTTAAATTGGTGTTGTAGTATTTGGGGACCTTATCGGGGACGTTGGTTTGGAGTTATTTCCGTGGCGCCAACACCGATGCTGCCCAAAACAGCCAAGGCAGACCTAGCGGTCGATCCCGTGGCGCTCCACTACGGCAGCAATGTGCAATGCTTCGACCCAGAGAGCCCAATACCCCTTAATTGAGGAATAGACCTTAAATCATAGTATTAAGGCCCCTATAATTTAAGGTATATTCCTTAATTAAGGGGGTATTGGGTTCTCTGGGGATGGTTGAACGATGCAGCACTCCACACAGAGGCCCCCACGGAGGAACGCTCACGCGTCAGAACCGGTGCCAGGCGACTTCGTCGAGACTGCACTCACCGTTTGGATCATGGACATGACGGCCACGCAAGCCCGCGCCTACATTCTGCCTTCAAGTCCTTCTTGACCGACACAGTGAAGGACAAGACTGTGCACCCGAAGACCTGCTTTTGGTGCTTGCTCCAGCTCAGGTCAAGCTTTCAGCGACGGATCAGGTTCCCAGAGAACCCAATACCCCTTAATTAAGGAATATACCTTAAACTATAGGGGCCTTAATATTATGATTTAAGGTATATTCCTTAATTAAGGGGTATTGGGCTCTCTGGGTTTGGCCGCCGACAAACTTGGCGAAGCCTCCTCCTCGCCGCCTTTGGGGTCACCTGCTCTTGTGATCGACGTGCGAAACCCTAGTTGTACAGCTAACACCTTCTCTCCACAGCTCTAGATTAAGGTTGAGTGACTTCTAGACTCTAGGCACCTAACTGAGTCCCGTCAGCCCATATCTGCTGGTGGACAACATCCTGCACGACCCTAAGTACCCTAGGTTATGGCAATCAAAAGATTAGCACAGGATTTAGCAAGATCTCAAGGTGATAAGGTTTCCGACAGCGCCAAGGATCCGTTTAAAGCCGGAATATCCCTTAAAGGTTGAAAACATGCTTACATTACTCAAGAATGGGTTTTGAGCACAGGGAGCCCCTGGCCCGTCAAGCAGCATTACCATACTAAAGCAATCGAACTTTCTTAGGATGATATCCACGCTATATAAATCTACTACTATTGTGTACCCTTGCCGAAAACCCTAATTATCAAGGCCCCTAAATTACCCCATGTCGTAGATCCAGGACAACGAGAAGTTCCGAACAACAGACCCCACATAGCATCCTGATTGTAAGGACACCTAGAAGAAGGATCCCTGATTCTCAGAAGCCTGATACAGAGTTGTGTCTTTTAAACCCATATATGCTAAAACCCTTATCCAGCCCCATATTTCCTTTCTTACCAAGCCTGAACAGGGCTCCACAACTAAGTTTTAGGAGCCGCCCAGGCAGCTACAGTTGGGCATGGCGCACCGTGGCAGACTCAACGTTCTCGCGCCTTGGCTTTCCGGTTGGGTCGAAGTGTTAGGAGGTTCGGCGCCTTGGGGTTCGGGGTGCAGGGGTTTAGGAACCCTAAACCAGAAACCCTAAACCCCAAACCTAAAACCCTTAATCCCTAAAACCCTAGCCCTACAACCCTAAGCCGTCACCCCGAAACTCTTTGTCCTAAGCCCGACGACCGAAGAACTCTTGGGATGGCTTTGCAAAATTTGGTTCGGGGCTCTTCTGATCCCCGAACAGTAAGGCTCAAGGTGCCGGGTTTAGGGCATTAGGGTTTTAGGGCTTTGGGGCCTTTGGGTTTAGGGTTTTAGGTTTTAGGGTTTTAGGGTTCAGGGTTTTTAGGGCTAGAGGGTTTGGGGGTTTCAGGGTTTAGGGTTTTAGGGTTTGGGGCTTTTAGGGTCTAGGGCTTTAGGGTTTTAGGGTTTGGGGTTTTAGGGACATCGGTTTGGGCGTGCTGAGAGAAGATAGGGTTTTCGAGTAAAAGGATTACGGGATTTAGGGTGTAGGAGTTTATAGGGTGTAGAGTTTAGTGTTTGGGGGATAGATAGAAACGTGAAGAACTGGGATGCCCATATCCATTTTGCGTTACATCCGAACTCGGAACTAAATATATTACTTAACGAAGTTAGGTAATTTAAGGAAAGAAGTGCAAACTAAACGATGACATACAGGCAGAAATTAAGGCAGAATACGAGAAACAGAAAAAGGAAAAACGCAAACGATTAAACGAACAATTTCGTAATAAATTTGTTGATGAAGAGGAAACACCAGAACATGAAGTTTCGTGTAGCATACGCGAACCGCAACCGGAGCCCGAGAAACCTAAACCCGATATTGATAAAGTATTCAATCACGTCCATCAGTTGCTAATGATTGATGAGTTTTTAGAAGACTATTTTATGCTATTCGTTAAGCATAGGGATAGGATAGTTCACAAGTATAATGTAGTTATAACCTTTAAGATTTTATGGGTTATAACTACATTATGGTTACTTGCTCTCAGGTGCGTCGCGCACAGTGACTACCTTAATCCTAAACCTTGTTCCTCTCATAGATATTTTATTAGATTTGACCATTTCCATTTTCTAGGGTTAAGGATTTCGGGTCGGGGGGAATATGGGTTTTTCTATGGTGGTATCGGTCTATGGGGTTGAGGTTGGGGGTTTTCTATGGGCTTATGGGTAGTTCCATAGTATGGGTTCTTCAGGGGGGTCTTTCCTATGCGTATTTTGGTGAGTTGGGGATTGAGGTATAGGTTGTTATGGTTTGGGGGCTAGGGAGTGGTGCATGATTAGAAAATGGAAATGGTCATTACTAACTCATAGTAGGTACCTGGAGGGTTAGGGATCCTAAACCCTAAACCCTAAACGCTAAACCCTAAACCCTAAACCCTAAACCCTAGGAGGGTTAGGGATGTGCCACGCCGGTAAGGACGGATATCTTCAGCTTCGGCTCCGCCATCACCGCCTGCGCCGAGGCTTTCTCCTCAAAGGGGATCCAAAGGTGGGTGTAGGGTTTAGGGTTTAGGGTTCAGAGTTTAGGGTTTAGGGTTGAGGGTTCAGGGTTTAGGGTTGAGGGTTCAGGGTTTAGGGTTTAGGGTGTAGGTGGGGAATCCCAAACGAGAGCCCTGATATAGGGGATCACATCGGCCGTCATCCCGCCTTTTGAGGCCTCCTGTCTCCTCACTCTTTGTCTTGCAGCCTTCTTGTGCTTATTCCTTAGCATCAAAATAGCCCAAAAGCCTTACATAATAGGGTCTTTGGGCCCGAAAGCCTTAAACAATGAGTCCTTTGAGGGTAAGGGTATAAGACTTCTAGACGTCGAGCGTCCGTTGAGAGTTTAAGGCGGACGGCGGCTCGCTCGGGGGAGCGACGGAGCCTGCAACGTAAGCCCCAGTCCCTGAATCCGCGTAGCCCTACGTCTTTAAAGCATTCAGCTCTAAAGCCACGGTTTAGGGTTTAGGGTTTAGGGTTTAGGGTCTTAGCATCTTGCCGTAAAGCCTATAGCGTCTGGATGCTAAGACCCTAAGGCCCAAGACCCCATTACCCGATCTATCGCACCCTCATTTTCGAAGCCAAGACGCTCTAAACCCGAAGCCCCAAACCCTAAACCCTAAACCCCAAACCCTAAACCCTAAACCCCAAACCCTAAACCCTAAACCCTAAAGCCTAAACCCGAAACCCGAAGCAGGGCGGCTTGTGGGAGCTCGGGCTCGATTTCCTGGACCAGCTCACAGGCCAAAGTTTGGTCCCCAACGTGACGCTCGACTTCCGGGCCCTTCAGAGGGGATTTCGGACCTGAGGTTCGGTTTCGGGTTTAGGGTTTAGGGTTTAGGGTTTAGGGTTTAGGGTTTAGGGTTTAGGGTTTAGGGTTTAGGGTTTAGGGTTTAGGGTTCGGTTTCGGCTTTCAGTTTTGACTGTTTAGAGTTTAGGGTTTGGGGGCTTAGGGTTTTGGGGTTGGGGTTTAGGGTTTAGGGTTTAGGGTTTGGGGTTTGGAGGTTTTGGGTGAAGGGTTTAGGGCCCCGGTCATCAGTAGGGCTCTAAATGGCGGCATCTCAGGATTATCCGCAACGCCGCCATTACGGCGTGTGCGAATGTGGGGTGCCCAGTCGAACTGTCACGGAGGGGATATCTGTTTCTGATTTCTGGTTTTGGGTTTGAACTGCAGTGTTGATATGGGAATTCTAAAGGCTTGGCGCCTGGGGCTTTGTTGTGGGGTATCACCCGAAGCTCTGGGTAACCAAGCACTGTTGTGCCAATGAGGTTGCGACCTGTGATTGTGCAAGGTTGATCTACTTACTTCTGGGAGTTTCCGAAAATAGGGGACCCTAAAACGGTACCCTAAATAGTAGGATCCTTATTATAAGGACCCCAAGATAAGGTACCCTAATTTTTGGGAAACTCGCAGATCGGTGTCCTTTTGGGGGTCCTCCTCCTTCTAGTTCACTACGAACAGCTACCAGAAGAAGATGAACCCATCAGAATGACCCCTGTAACTCCAACTGGAGATGCTGAAATAGTCCATTGTGCTTCTCCTGGTATCCCAAACCCCAGACCCGAAAAGTCTAGACTCTAGACTTGAAACTCCGTAAGTTTTAGGGCCTAAATCTGAAATCTTAAGTCTTAAGCCTTAAGCCCCGCGCCCCAAGCCCTGGGACCTTTGGGCTCGAGTTCCTTGGTGATGGATTGTGGGTTGGGGTTTGGCCTCTACCCATAGGCCCTAAAGTAGTTCCTTTTTGGGGTTCATGTATAGAATCCCATAAGGTAA